TCCATGGGGCCATTTAGCCACATCTGGAAAAGAGGGAGATTGGTGGGCGTTACGGACCCCATTTCGTAGAGGGGGGAACAGAGACCCGGAGAGACGGTGGCTTGCCCGCACTGCACATACCAGGGGGTGGGCAGAACCAGGGTTGGAACTGAGGACTCTTACCCTGAGGAGTTAGCACTCACTCTCCCGTCACCAAAGGGGATTAGCGTCAGAAGACACAATGGCCACAGGGCCATGGGGAGGGGATGGACAGGCAACGCCCAGGGACCACACAGGGGGCCCACAAGCCTTTGAGAGGAGCGCTGGAGAAGAGGGGCCCCTGGGTCCCACAGCGGAGGGGCTGGCTCGTGAGTGCGTCCAGGGAAGGGGGTCCCCCGGGGGGAAAGCCGGTCACGCAGTCCCGGGGCCTTCCTCCCCCCACACCTGTCCCCCGGGCGGGCTGTCCCAGGGCTCCGTGGCCTGGCACACGGGGGACAGCCTGGTGGGAGGCCGCCCTCGCTCACCTAGGCCCCTGCAGGCGCCTCGCTCAGCTTGGCCGCCAACGCTCACACACCATCACCCCCACACCACCACGTCTCAACGAGCCCACTTCGTTTATTACCAAAATAGCACAGAATTCCAGTCACGGTTAACATACAGCGTTTGACACGAACCTGATCCCTGTGGAGAGGTCGAAGTATCTGGACAGTCGAGTCACTGGGAAGCGTAAGCAACACCCCAACCCGATTATCGCTCCATACTCCAAAAATACGCTTCGAGAGCTTTGGAGGCTGAATTAAAATGTCTACACAGCTATGAACAATTGTTTAATAAAACGTTTTCATGTTTCCATTACATGTAAATATATCAATTTGGCATCTCTATAAAAACTCTGAAAATGGTGCAAAAGTGTCACTCTCTTCGAGAAAGCGGTTGACAGAAAATAGTCACACTTCACTAAAATTTTGAAAAACGGTCTTCTTTCAAAGCTTCCTTAGTAAGCTGAAATCTCCTGGATTATCAAAATCTAGGTTTCCTTTTTCCTCCTAGAACACTAAAGAACATTTATTCACAAGGATAAAAAGGCAAATGGGGAGAGGGAGAACTGAGGAGGGCTTTTTTTTTTTTTTTTTTTTTTTGCTTTTTTCCCCCCTGGAAATAATAATTAAAAAAAGAGCTAGTTACATAAACATTCCTCAAAAGAACACAAGGGGATTCGTTTTATTGGTGGCTTTTGGACAGCAGTGTCATACTTTATTGAAAACAAACCCATGTAAAAACAAAGTTAAAAGGAAAGATGGTACCTGCAAAATAAATTATTTTATATAAAACAAATCAATAACTTAAAACACGCTAATATACAAAACGTCTGCCCGTCTAATGCACAACATGGGAGCCGGCTGGCCAAGCGCCCCGCCCCCCAGAGCAAGTCACTGTAAACGCAACGTTACACGGTAAAGAGGTGGCCCCGGCCAACGGACGAGCCTGGTCTCCTGGCGGAATGCAACACAATCCTCTCCAAGCCGCTGCTCGAACCATCCGTGAGCCTAGCCTAGGTCCCTGCGGTGCCATACAAGTAACTTGTTGGGTTTTTGTTTGTTTGTTTTTAATGACCAAGCGGAAAACTAAAAACCATGGCCTCGAAAGGCCGTGGGAGAATATGCGATACAATCATCAGAAGTCAGAGGCAAATGAAAGGTTGGGAGATGTGAACCTTCTGGGAAGAAGGGGGTAGTGCGGGGAGGGCAGGGGTCCGGGACTCAGGTTCTATCTACCGCTACTGCAAGCGAGGGTCAGTCATCGATGCCACTCAACGGAGAGCACTTGGGACTTCAGGTGGGGGCGGGGCCTGGGAATCTGATGGACAGCGGGAGGTGTTTCCTGAGGAGCTGCCTCGGGTCCCAGAGGTGCCAGAGGTCCTGGGAAGGGGTGGGGGGAGGGTTTCAGACGGAGGGCTGGGGAACACACACCTTTGGCAGCTTATTCTCTCTCTCATCCAACCCAGGGAGGCTGCGAAAAGCACAGAGAAATAAAGCCAGGCTGGATCAGATGCGAAATGCAACAGCTAGGTGACGTTGACTTTGATTTTCAAGTCCCACAGCGGACTCAGATTTGGGGGACAGTCAACAGCCCTCGTTTGGATGCAGACCAGGATGCGTTATTGCCAGGAACCGTCTTCGGGTTCATTGACTTATCTGAGCCGCAGGGACTGCTCCCTGCCCGGCCGGCAGCTCAGAGCAGCGCGGTTCAGACCCTGCGCACTAACGCCAAGTGCAGACTCTCAAAGGTTAAGGCAGCTGCCCTTGGCAAAGGGAGAAGACTCACCTTCGGGGGACAAAGAAGGTGAAGCCCACACAGCACCATCTGCCTAGCGGCCAAGAAAGCCCATCTGGCAGCTGGCTTCAAGATGGCAAGATGGTGGCGGCGGGGGTGGGGGTGGGGAGGAGACTGGGATCCCAGTCACAGGGCTGGCGACCAGAGGCACAGCCAGCGCAGAAAACCACCGCTTGGCATATTACAATTTAAAACTAAAGAAGGGCAGAGGCAGGGCGTAAAAAAATGAATAGCTCAACTGGAACCAGGTTCACGAGTTCGGGAAGCTTCTCAGCAAACAACTATCAGGGGAAGTTACGCAAGCCAAAAGAAAATTCTATCAAAGCCTCTTTGGTGTTTGTGTACCGAACCAAACTTTCGATAAATTAACATTATCTACTCTTTATTCTTTTTCATCAAAATTCCCAAATAAAAGGAGAGCACTCATTTTGTGAAATACAAATGTGACTGATCTATGTAAAAAATTGTTTAAAAAACGGTTTATTTTGGATCCTGACTTTTAAAAAAATGGGATCTTCCTTTTGCAAACAGGCCTGAGGAAGATATAACGGGACTCTTCAGACACAGGGCCATCATCTGGTGCCTCAATGGGAGCGACAATTGCTTTTCAGGGTTCAGTCGCATGAGAGTGAAATCCTGCCACACAGTTCACAAAGTAGCACTCCCAAGGAAATGCACAGGGGTTTTAGCTAGAAGGCTGTTTAAAGAGTGGAGACCACGTAAAAGGAGAATTTTACTGAACTGGGACCCCTCAGGCCGCTTTCAAAGGCTCATTTCCTCTTCCTCCTTGGTGCCAGCATCAGAATGGTCGATATGGTGCAGATGTGGCAGGGAGAGGAGGGAGCAGCAGTCGTGGTCTTTCACAGTGTACCCTTCCGATGGAATCTAAGAAATCGAACACTAGTGAGGGGGGGCACGAATGCGTGTCAAGAAGAGACCCAAGGGTCGCTTTTGGGATGGGGAATCTCATCTTCGCAGAGAAGATGCTTGCCCAAGGCTAGCACAACCTGAAAGGCATACTCTTCCAGGAAAACATCCTGGTCTGTGGTGAAGGGCGCCCAGGTGGACAGAGTGGAAAACCTGGCTCTGTGTCAAATACAGCCAAACGGGCCTCGGTTCTAGGTTCCAGGAGGTGGCCCGTAAGCTGGCTTTGACTCAGGATCTGGAAACTTCTGCTAGGGGTGAGGTGGGGGGGAGGTCCTCCATGGCACATGGCCAACTTCTGAGAAGGCCTCAAGGTATGCACTTGGCCCTTCTGTGGGAAGAGAGCACGCCACCATCTCAAGTTGGGGGAGGATGATGCAGGGGGTCGGCAGGCCCTCGGTGGAGTCTGGGGGGAGCGGGGAGCCTCCAACTGTCCGGGGGCTTCCCGGAACACTGACCTGCTCTGGAGAAGGCTGTGCCCATTTTCTTCCACTTAAATAAATAAATAAATAAATAAATAAATAAGTAGGTAGGTAGGTAGATAAATAGATAATGCCACAATTCCACGATACTAATCAACTAAAACTGCCCATCAGGATGCGTTTTTAGCCTTCTGTTAGAGGCTAAAAACTGCTGGTACTGAGTTCTCTGGTTTCTGGTCCTCTCTAAACACTAGACAGTCATAAAAGTCAGCTCACACTCCCGAGGTGCCCGGAGAGCTGGCCCTGCCCCTTCTCAGGCTCGCGCCCTGCCTCTCCCTACTGGCTCCCCCATTTTAAAGCTGAGTGCCATCTGGGACCGCACAGTCCTGCGTCACAGATGTGCAAATGCTTGGTCTCCAGGCAAGTCTTGGTTTCCTAAGGTCTTACAAATCCTCCCTGAACGCTGGCCGTCTGCACCTTACCTAGCCAAAAAGAAAGAAAAGGTAAAATAAAAAACAAAACAAAATTCGAGCAAAACAAAATCAAATTTAATGGTCTTAAATGCAAAAGTAAAAACAAACAAAAAACACAAAAAAGCAAAAGAAAATTAACAGAACAGAACAACCCAAAAGTCAAGGCAGTTATGAAGAGAACTTGGGAGGGTTAATCTTTAAAACTACAAATCAAAGGGGCATTTTTTTTTCGTTCTTGTTAATAGATAACTGGCAAGGAGTAAGTACTTTTCTGCTGAGTGTTCATACGAAAGCAAAGTTTCAAAACAAAATCTGACTAAAATAGAAAAAAAAACAACAACAACAACAACAAAGTCTAGCGCTCACGAGAAGGGATGCGAGAAATACAATGCTCAAATGTTTCCGGGGTCATAAAATACGCAGCAGTCTTCCGCACTCGCGCTGTGTGAGGTGCGCTGGGGGACTGGGGACACGGCAGGGCACCGCGCGTGCCTGTGTGGGGACAGAAACTCGGGATGTCCGGGAAGCGAGCCTGGAGCTAGGTCTGATTGGGGAATATACTGGAGTTTCCCTGAAACTCTTTGGTCCGTTCCCACTGGCGCCTGGGCTTTGGGAGACGTGTTTGTGTCCTTCCGTGGAGGGCCCAGCGTGCGGCCCCCTCCCCGGTGGTGGCTCCCCCACCCCCGCGGGGGTCCCGGGGGGGGGGATCTGGGGGAGCAGGAGGTGGTGACGGCACCTGCTTGGGAAAGCAATTTCCCGTCAACCAAAAGCAGAAATCGCTTACAAATGGTGAAGCGGCTGAGGAAAGCACACACTCAGCATCTGTCTAACATCTTTAGTCTGGAAACTAGAACTAAAAGGTCAGGTCTTTTTTTTTTCTCTCCCCCTTTTCCTTTTTTTTTTTTAATCCAGTTTGCGGAGACACCGAATGAAATGAGTGTTAGACAGTCTTAGAGGGTAAAGCATGCTTCAGGTTCACCACCGTCCCGAGGGACTGGTTAGTCAATGCAGTCTACTTAGATTTCTGTTTAATATATATTTTAAAGGAAATAACTTAAGAAACTTAAATTGGTCTAACATTGTGGGATTTCAAACATTTGAACATTTCGGTTGCATCCCCGAGTATAAAAACCTCTTCACTTCTCATTTAGACTAGGACAAACACTTGTGAAAATTGGCGCAAAATGAGTTGTACACTAACAAAAAAGTTTCAACTTCTTCACTCTTAATTATCTATTCCGTACAAAAAAAAGCATGAGCGAGTTATTTGTGGGACTTGTTGGTTTTGAAGGAAACCTGTAAGATTTTGTCCCCCAGGCGGTAGCCGTTCAGACTTGCTATGGCCATGGCGGCTTCTTCATAGTTTGTCATGGTCACAAAGCCAAAGCCTTTGCACTTGTTGGTGTTGAAGTCGCGAATCACTTTCACATTGGTGACCGCCCCAAAGGGGCCAAACATCTGCCAGAGGATCCCCTCATCGGCGTCCTGCCCGAGGTTGTAGATGAAGATGCACCAGCCCGAAGACGCGTTGCTCGGGACATTGACACCAGAAAGCCCACTCATGTGATCTACACCCATAGGGGAGAACCTAGCAAACAGAGAGCACAGCACGCAGGTCAAGGTCATGCAGGCCGGTGCGCCCAATGGTCACGAACAGGCATTCGATAGTGGGAAGGAGGCTCCTTGCGCTGCAGACAGTGGACTCTGAGGAGAAACACTGCCTGCACAAGGTCAGATCCTCAACCAACTGCCCTTGGAGCTGTGCTCCCTCCAGCACCTTCTATCGCTGGGGGCGGGGGGCGGGGTGGGGGGTCCCAGGCTTCCCACATCTAAATGCTGGAAGCTTCTCCACGTCCTCTCGGGTGTCGTTGCACCCTCGGGTCTCCCTGGAGGAAGCGTCACCCTCATACTCCCTGCCTCTATATGTGTCATGTGGGTGGGGGAGGGGCAGGGACAGGGTTGTTTTTTTTTTTTTACTTTTCTTTTTCTAAAATCTTATCATGCCTTCATCTTGGCTGCCCTTGTTGGAGGGTCCCAGGGAAGCACACCCACCACCTGAAGGGCCACCACAGGGCACAGGGAATTCCTTCCCCTAGCTCCAGGGGACCTTCTGCCACTGGCTCATAGCATCGCAGAAGGGCCAGGGCCCAGAGTGACGCCTGTGGACTGCAGGTGTGCCCAGCTGTACGCAAAGTGTGGGCCTCTTTCCAAAGCAATGCTTTCAGCTGCATAAGCCTTCTACCAACGTGTGGCCACTGCGGTAGGAGGAAGGGAGAAGATCCTATCGCTACTGAAGCCACACGGCCCTCTGAAACGTTTCGGAAACGAAAAAGGAACGCTCTTAGGGTCAGTTTAAGACTACTGAAGTGTGACAGAATGCCTGGGGGGCCACACCGTGCAAGAAACATGATTTGCCTAAAAAAAAGCCGCGAGGCTGACCCAAGGGCAAGCAGGTGCTTTCAAATGCCACCAAACAGATTAATCCTTCTGACAGACGTTAAGGCAAGACTGACGGACTGGCTCCCCAGGTGCTGCCTCCTTATCCAGGGGGCCTCTTCAAGGCAGGTGTGGAGGAATGAAGACACGTCCCTGGCCATGGCTTTGAATGTACGGAAGTAACTTTAATCAGCCTACACCAGGATGTCAGAGTTGCTTAAATGACTCAAGTGGCTTGTCAGTGGTCTCGAGTTGGCCTGCAGCCATGGCCACGAGGGCCCTGAAGCGGGGGTGGGGAAAGGCACCCTTGTGTCTGTGGGACATTAAGCCAAGTTGGTTTTCAATAAAAACTGGAAAGAGGTTTTGACCTTAACAGACCTGTGCCTGCCCGCCCCCGTCCGGTTTTGTGGGAAGCCAAACATGGGTCCGATTACAGTTAACCCGAATCTTCATGTACCTGTTATACTGGAAATAACCTGAGACCTTATTTTACTGTCTTCCGTCGATGTGGTTCTCATTCCTATTAATTATTGTTAGCTGGTTTTTCTCCTGCTAATTGGAGGGGATTTCTTCCATCCTGACTACAATGAAAACCACCTCCCATTCTTTTCTCCGATGTAGGAAGGAGACCTGAGCCTGCCTTTATTATTTGGGGTGCTTTGCTACTGTGAGACGCAGACTGCACACTGTCCCCTCAGCTGGGCCTCCCTCCCTCCTGCTCTCATCTTCGTCTGCCTTCCGGGGGCCGGTCTTTCCTCGCACCTCCCCCGCCGCCCTCGCTTCCCTTCGTCTCTTCTCGCTGCGAACCTCTGGCTGTCAAGACCCCTTTCCTGCCCGGCCAGCAGTGCTGGCCACTCTGGTCCCCTTTCTTTTCTGTTCCTCCTTCCTGTGACCAGAGTCTCCCCTCCTGCTGCGCCCTCTCCCCTGCTCACCCAGTCTAGTTGCTGGGAACCTGAACGCTGCCGTGCACACATCCCACCAGACCAGGGGTGACACAGACTATGTCAGCTGATGCTCGAACATGGATTTAGCTCGCTTCCGTCCCAGATGTTCCCCTGGCCTTTGTCTTTAAGCTAGAAAAGCCAATGGGGGAAGGCTAGCTCTAGAGCCCGAGCCGAGCTGCGAACGTTGTGTTACTAGCTACTGAGGACAGCGCCTCCCAGGAGGCGTCTGTGCAGCATGTCGCCCAACCTCACTGTTTAGGACAAAGATGGGGAACTGGCAAAGCCGCAGAGATGAAGATCCCTAACACACCTGATGTAAACCCTCCTGCCACGGCTGGAGGTTTTGACAAAAACAAAACCCAAGTGGCCCGTGCCACTTGTGAGGCAGAACACGCCTGATTTTGGAGCCCAAGTTCCAAAACCCTCATTGTCTCTGTTCTCCTAGATCCTGGCACCTGGAGTCATTTTCGGTCTGGAAAGGCGAAGGAATGTCAGAAAACCATTTGCTTCCAGGGCAGGGCTTTTAACCAGAAGCCATGTGGTATTTGGAGATGCAAGTGAGCACCCAGGTGAGGGAGGGAGGGAGGGCTGCCTGAGGACTGGGAGCCAGGGGGCAGCTCTCTGCTAAGCACAGCTGAGGCGGCATCTTCCGGCTTCTACACTCACGGGCTGCGCTTCGGCCAGTGACACCAGACCCTGGGGTGCTATGCACCTTGCCCCCCTATAGGGAGGGGTCCTGGCCGGAGACAGAACCACCTTTCAGATTCCACTTTAGACAATACTCGGATGGACACCAACGCCTTTCATAAAGATACCATTGATGGGGGCAGGGGCGTGGAGACACGTGGTGTCTGAGCGCAACCGTGTGACCAGCCAGGGGGACCCAGCTGGCCCACAGTGGGAAGAGCCCGGTTGGTGAGAGCGCCCCCTGCCGACCCACCTGAATCTCTGCGCCTGGTGGTGGACGGGGCCTCCGAAGCGTCTGGCCGGCGAGTGGTAGAGCTGGGAGAGAAGCGCCATGTTTTTGTTCTGGTTGGGGTTGGCTGCAAACTTCACTGTAATGGGCTCGGAGGAACCTGGGGGTTTATGACCATTGAAACTGGTAATTGCCTCTTCTGCTTCCGAACGTTTGTCAAACCGGATAAACGCAACCCCTCTGGACAAACCTTTTTAACAGACCAACAAAAACGGAGTTAGGCGGGAAGATGCGAGGATTTTTAAAACTGAAAAGCAAAAGTCAAGTCAGTCAGTCTGTGTGGTTTCAAATCAGATAACGTGGCAAACAAGAATAAAGACTAAATGTGGAAACGAACAGACAAACTTAAAAAAACAATGACCAGTAAGATTAAGGTTTCAGACTTTCTTCTGAGTCGAAGCAGCAACTACACAGTCTCGGTGCCCATAGACATTGTAGTGACAGATGTCCCAGACAGATACCCCTGATTGTTCTCTGTGCCCACCAGGGAGGGTCTGCGGGATTCTCCCTACGCTCCGGGGCCCTGCGGCCTGCCCTGTGAACAAGGAGCAACGGTGGCTTGTGCAGCCCAGCCAGAGGCTGTCCTCTTCCCAGCCTGCCTGAGTCCCTCTCGCTTAGTCTTCAGTTCAGGGAACAAGCCTCAGCCCACAGCCCTCTCCTCCTACCCTGACCTCACTCACCTTCTGGATCTTCCACTGTAAGGTCCTAGGACTGCCTAGAATGGAGGGAAGCCGCTTACTCTCCCTCAGAAAACTGCCCAGAGGTGTGCTGCCACCTGCCCGCAGACTCCTCACAGGCCGGAAATCCCTGCCCGGGGCCCACGCCACCCCTGTCCTTATTCTAGGAGGGCTGGGGCCCCCTGCCCTGGCATGCACCATCTCTTGCCACCGAGTCCGAGCCACCTGAAGTCAAGCCCTGTTTCCCTGCTGTAACCTGATCCCTCGACAGAGCAAGAATGTGGACCGGGACCAGGCTGCCTGAGACCTGGGGCCCCGCGGAAGGTGTGGTCAGCCCAGCACGAGTGCGAGACCCGCACAAGGCGGGCAGAAGAGGGCTCGGCCGCCCTCCACCCTGATCTGTCCACGCTCTAGGCCTGGGAGGAATGAGGACAACTGTCCCTTGCAGAACTAGAGGAACAGGGTGGGGTTGGGGAAGAGGACCGGCTCCTTCTCCTGGGGGAAATAGGGGTCAGGTGTGAAGATCAAAGTGCAGCAGATAGGTGACAGGAGGGCGAGTCCTGGATGTGCCTGGGGAGGGAGGGGGGGCTACAGCAGACGGCCCCATCCTACACACTCTTGTCCTCACCGCTGGTCACAGCCTGCCTTGAATCACATTTCCTTCTCTAGACAAAGGCCTTCGGCTCCCAATGAATGACAATTACCAAAGCAGGATGGCCCAGGGCCTGGGGGTCAGCAAAGTGAGCACAACAGACGCCCCCCACCTCCACCCCAGGCACCTCCATCCCCGCAACTTTCCTTACCCTTCCTGCAGAGTCCCACCAAGTGTCCCACGATGGGCACAGGGGGTGGGTCTCCCCAGCTGGCCCAAGGTCTGCAGAGGGGCACAGTGAGGCTCAGGCATGCCAGGCGGGATGCTGCAGTGACGAGTGTCACGGTGAGGCCTGGCCACCTACCATGCACCTAGAGTCCCACGCCTGGGCCTGACCAGATGCGGTGCTGTGGGCCCCATCCAAGCAGCCAGACAGCAGTCAGCGAGCCTCGGGCCAAGGATGCTCTGTTTATAGCTGTAATGTCCAGCGGACACTCCATGGGGAGCCTGAAAGCACGTACCCCAGCTCGCCCAGCTGGAACCCCTCCCCCCATAGTACAGCGCCCTGGGAGGCCACACGGCTGCCCCTAGTGGCCTCAAGGCTGCCTCCTCCTTGACTCCATGATCTTTTAAATGTATATAAATTTAAAATTCACACAACCAGAGACACTCATTGAATTAATGAGATCTGACCCAGCAATTCACATGAGTACCAAGAAAATTCTAGAGCCTCAACTCATTTTCCAATTCCAGTTCAGAAGGAACACCTAAAAACACACACACTCAACACACACTGCTTTTATTTACTCTTGAACGGCACAAATGACAGCTCTGACAGCCAGCCACCTGAACGGATATTAACTTCAGGCCAACAACGGACAGCTGTAGCCAGGGCCCCGGCGGGAAGCGGCCCTCAGGGAGACCGTTCCATCCCAGTGATAAGGAGCTCGCGATGGAACAGAGAGCAAGTGTGTGTGTGGTGTGGCTTCCCAGTTTGGTTTCGTAAAATGGCTTTCAAATGGAAACGGCCCAAGTGAAACGAAGACCACCCAAGGGAAAAAACGTTAGCGTGAGGGGGAGCACGTTCACTCAATGATCCGATGAGCAGACGCCCTTTGAAGGGGCCCCGTGGTTTTTTCCCCTGTTTTTAGAATCAAGAGCAGAGGTCAACAAATGGCATGATCTCCAGATGAGTAACCTATAGGGTTAACAATGAAAACAGATGAGAAAACACAGAAAATGTAAGAAGTAAGTTCTGTCAGCTATTAAGCGTTGCCCTCAGCGCTGCCCCGTCCCTTTAACGCTCCAGGGCACATCACACAAGGTAAACGACCCGCAAACCTGGCAGCATCACTGGTCTCTGCCTTGGCCCCCTGGGATCCCCTGGGTCCTGGTAGAGAGGCCTACTGAGTGGCTGCCTCTGGAGCAGAGGTGGGAATGGAAGCCCACAGTCCTGGGGCTCCACCTTTCTAACTCCCCAATTCACCACCCAGGGCCAGGGCAGGGCTGTGGACAGGGAGCCCTGGGGACTCCCTCACGGCACCCCTCCTTCTGCCCCTCGCAAAGATTCTGAAGACAGTCCCTCTGCTGAGCAGCAGAGCCTGGTGGGATGCCTGAAAGAGCAGGACATTCCCATGGACGCCACCCTGAGGTCATAGCTGAGCCTGGGGGGCAATCCCGGGGTGCCCGCAACGCTCTAAGAGACACCAGCCCTACAGAAAGAAGGGAGGCCAGATGCCCCACAAATGGCTGAGGGCAACTGTCTGCATAAGTGACCTCCTCAGGGTGGCGGGAGCCACTGGGGAAAGCTGGACGGCCAGGGTGGGGGTGTCCCTGGAGAAGGCAGCTCCACTCAGTTGTGCCCGGCTGGAGAGAGACAAGCAGAGGCGAAGTGGTATGTGCGACACGTAGAAAAGGATGGCCACGGAAACAGAACGTGGAACAGCGTGGTCACACCATCCGGGGCCCCGGGCAGCCCACACTGGTGCTCCTATGCAGGTGGGGCTGGGGGTAAACACGTGCACTGACTGGCGCACTGCACTGTTCTTTCTCAACTGGCACTTGAAGGTGAGGGAGGGGGGGCTTCAAGGACACGGGACAGTGTCCTGGTGCGGACCAAAGGGGTTGATACCATGTAAATGGGACCCTCACCCCCGCCGCCATGTCTGACCCAGGGCACAGGTGCAGAACAGAGGCCGCAGTGTGGCCCCTGTCCCTCCGGCAGAACCAGGTGTCTGGGTGGGCATCCGCACCAGGCGCGGGGCTCCCCGGTGACAGTGCACCTCGCTCCGATGCCCCCCTCCCACTCAGGCCCCAGGGCACTCGGGTTTACCCCCTGGGCCTGAGCTCAGGACCACAGCCCCAGAAGCAGGGCCAGCACGTGCAGGGCGGAGCGCGGAGAAGGGAGGGCAAGTGGCAAGGCTGCCACCCCAAAGTACACAGCTTGGGGGGACAAGGAAAATGTGCGCATCTCCACCCCCATCTGTCACAGACCAGGAAGGCCCAGCCCACCCACGCTCCGGGAGCTGCTCTGCAGCCTCCGGGGGGCGCTGCTGGCCTCTCGGAAGGGAGGTCACCTCGAAGTCATGGCTTCCTGTGACCAAACTACCCTGTGTTTGTTTTCTGTTTTCATACCACAGCCGAGGGCATGGGGAATGCACTCCACTGGAAGAACATGAACATCAAACGCAAATAATTCGGATGGCTTCTCGAAGCCCCGTGAGTGGTCTGTCAGCAGATTCCCACCCCGGGAGGGGAAGAAGCCGAGGAGTGCTGCAGCAGGCTGGACCAAGCTCACTGCCGCCCAGACAGAGCCATGCACAGGGCTTAGCAACGAACGTCCCGAGCCCGGTGCCCAGGCCTGTGGGGCGGATGGACTGCACCGTCAGCACCGGGCCCCGCCTCGTGCGATGGGCCCTCCTGTGGGGGCAGGTCCCGGGCCTCCCCTCCACTGTGCCTGACGGCCTCACACAAAGCCCAGAGCCCAGGCTGCTCACGTCCCGGGCGGAGAGGACCTGAGAGGCGCTGGCGAAGTGGCCAGGCTGGTCAGTGAGGGGGATTCACTGCCTGAGGCTCTCTGAGCTCTGAGCATGCTATGAGGGGGACAGCCACATCATGGGGACGAGGACGGCTCCTCAGAAGCAGCCACTTGTGGCTTTAGGCCAGTGGAAAGTGGGGGCTCCAGGTCATGAGTGCAGGCTGTCCCACACTGCACCCCGAGTGCCTGCAATAAGCAGCGGCCAATGGCCCACTGGCGGCCTTTCTGCCCACTTAGGCCAGGCTGGGCCATCTGGGTGCCCAAGGAAAGGTGCCAGGAGTCTTATTTTCACCACACGACGCACAAAACCGCACTTGACCTCCCCAGACTCGTGCAGCAAAAGCCAGTGTCCGCATTCTGGTTCTGTGCTCCCTGGCGGAGCAACACTGACGCCACCTGAAGGGGAAGCCCAGCCCACACGCGGGCCACCCCCCCGTACCTGTGGTCTGGTCCACGAGCACCCGGGAGTTGATGATTCGCCCGAACCGAGAGAACATGTCCTCCACATCCTTCTGGGTCATGGTCCTTGGGAGCCCGCTGATGTACAGGTTGGCGTCTTTGATGACCTCTGAGCTGGGGCGAGCGTACGACACCTTGAAAACAAAGGTGGGCTTTGTTCCTAAGCTGGGCTTAGGGCAGGTGTGTGCTCAAAGCATTGGGGAGGCGGGGTTAGATATGGGGGCATGAAAAAGCCCCCCTCCTGGTGAGAAGCTGCACCAACGCTCACCATCTGTGACACTGCGCGCGAGTAGCTCACGCGGGCCAAGCAGCGAGCCAGATGGACGCCCTGCGGCCTTTTCTCACTTGGACTTCACACCCCACACCGAGGCAGACACAGTCTTAGTTCTCACAGCCGAGAGACTGAGGGCCACGGTTGGCTGCAGACAAGGCCAGGACTCAACTGCAGCTGTCTCTTCTCCTACTGTGGCCTCTGCCTGCTCCCAGGGATAGGACCCAGTCCTGCCTGTGAAGAGTCCGAAGGAGCTGCCACCTGCCAAAAGGCAAAGCTGCTACTGGAGCCCATAGGGGACCCCGGGGTCTGGGGAGTCCGCCGTCCAACACTTGCTGTTCGACGTTAAACGACCCCATGCCTTTTGGGGGTTTTGCGGAACTGAATAAAGCCTGTAAGGAACGTCTGCTGGGCTGAGATACGCGGGAGGCCGCAGGGGCCAGTGGCAAGCTAGGCCTTCGTGCCTTCCCAGGCCAGGGTGACGGCCGTGCACGGCCATGGGCCATGCAGGCCAGGAGCAAAGGGAGGGGTGCCCGGGTGCCTCAGTCGGTGAAGTCGATTTCAGCTCGGATCATGATCCCACAGCACGACACAGAGCCCTCTCGCCTCTGAGCTGGAGGAGCCTGGAGCCCACTTAAGATTCTCTCTCCCTCTGCCCCTCCCCTCACTCATACAGGGACACTTGGGCCCTCTCTCTCTCTCAAAAATGAATGAATGATGAATAAATGGAGGAATGAGACTAAGGTCACACCCCTGCTGGGAAGGAGCAGCTGGGACACAGGGCCCCTCTGTCTCTAAAGGGGCGGCCTGAAGGGACAGGCCTCAATCACACCCAGTGGAGTCAGATCTGAGTCAGGAGGCTAGGGAATGAGAAGGGGAGGAGGATCTTAGAGAAGTGTGTTCCGGAAGGTGAGGGACTGAAGCCTGTGCACGATAATGCTCTCCCAGAGGGTCACAAGCTGAGGAGACGAAGAGCCTGAGACCATAACCCAGGAGCAGACACAACCTCTCAGGTGTCACCAGGCAGCACGAGGTACAGACAACAGGTGTGTTCTCACTACAACGCTCAGGCCTGCCAGAAGGGGCAGAAGTGTGGTTCCTTGTGCCAAACACACCAGCACGCCCTCCCCTCCCGCCGCACCCCTGCATTCATGTGCTTGTTGAGTCGGAATCTATGACAGTCCCTAGGAGGCAACAGGAGACACAACCTTTGCCAGCAGAGCAGGGTGTGGTCCAGGGGGAGAGAGAATGAAAGAGAAATTACATGGTGTGGTCAGAGCCCAGCTTCCCCCGAAGAGGTGCGAGGATCGTGCAGGTTGAACGTCAGAGGAGTGTGGAATGGAAGTGGCCCCCATCTGATCGGGAAGATGTCCCAGAGCACTAGGGCCCACTGGGGACAGACGGCCTCCACGCAAGTGGGGCAGATGTGGCACTGTCCCCTGAGATAAAGAGGCCACTTTGGCCTGTGGGGTCTCCCTGTCACCCTTCACAGAGGCAGGTGGCTGACCAGTCGGTCGGGGCTTGGTCACCCTCCTCAACTTCCAGAGAAGGATGTCACCTGTCACATCTAGGCCTAAACCCTCCAGGTCTGCATCAGCAGCCCACAGAATACTCCAAACTCCTGCCAGAGAGTGTGGCTGCAATTTTTGGCTCCCCCATTTTACCAAAGGCCCCAGGCAGTGATGTTGTGTTTCGGGCAGGATGGCTTAAGGGGAGGCTAGGCCTCCCAGGGCCATCTGGTCTGGCCCTTTGCAGACCTGTCTGGATGGGGCTGTATCTGGGGTCACCCTTGGCTTTTAATGAAGGACACTGTGGGCAAGAGCACCCCCAGCCCAAGACCCTGGCACCGGGGAAGCAGTGCAGACTCTGGTACTGACATGACCCTCCCTCGATGAAGCCCCAGAAAGAAAAATGCATTCTCCAGCCGAAGGTGCTTCGACTCCTCTGACACCAGGTCCGTTGAGGCCCCTGACCACCAGCGCAGCTTTCCCTCCTTCTCCGGCCACTATCAAGTTCCGAGGCTGGTCGGCCTCCAAGGAGACGGCACTGGAGCACCTGGTGCTCCAGGGGCTCCATGACACAGGGTCTCAGCATCACCTGCTCCTCTGTCGCAGGCAGGGCTTTTCGTGTCACGTGCTCAGGAAACCTTCCTATAAAGGCTAAACTGTGTCCCCCAACAAATTCCCATGTCACAGTCCTAACCTCACCCCACATAGAAGAACGTGACCCTACTGGGAAAGAGTTGTCACAGATATAATTCATGAACATGAGGACATGCCAGAGCAGGATGGGCCTCAATCCAGTAACTGCGTCCTCAGAAAAAGGGGGAATTTGGACAGAGATGCGCACAGGGAAAATGCCAGGCGAAGCTGCAGGCAGAGGTCCGGGTGACATTTCCATGAGCCCAGGAACGCCAGAGTGGCCGCAACCCCTGGGCCAGGGGACAGCCGGGGACAGACTCCCTCCCAGCCTCAGAAGGAACTATCCTGGCCACACCTCAATCTCGGGCGTTCGGCCTCCAGAGCTGTGAGCATGAATCCCTGTTGTTTAACAACCACCCCAACACCGTTTGAGGTGCTCTGTCATGATAGTCCTAAGAAACAAATCCACCGGCCCGACCACCTGATTTGCCCCAGAGCCACACTGGCCCCCCAGGCAGTGCCCAGCCCCCTCCACCCCCGCCGCCTCCATGTAAATGTTCCCCATGGCATTTATCTTGATCTGACATCCTACGTGTTCTACTTATTTAACTGTGTGCAACACTCGATGAGGGCAAAACTTTTGTGTTTGCTGCCATATCACCAGCACCTAGAAGAGATGCAGGTGAACAGCAGGCATTCGGTGAATCATGGCTGAATGAGGGAATAAAAGCAATAGCCGTTATTACTATTAACACCCGCCTAACTGTGCTGCGGTCTCCTGGGCCCTGTTTACGGCTAATCCAAGCTATACTGGTCTGGTTTCTGGTGTCCACCGCCCACGCTGGGCCGGGGAAGCTGCCAGGCAGTGATGTTAAATGCCCAGAACCATAGGCACCCATTTCAAACCCTGACTTTGCCCTTCTTTACTTGTGTGGCCTTGGGAGACCTGTCACAACTCTATACAACTCTTCTTCAAGCCTAAATTGGGGATCATCTCTCCCAGGCTGTGGTGAGGAAAACAGAGACAGGGTATGGAATGACCTGACCCATCAGAAGCCCCTGACAGGTACCATGTCAATCACATAGGATTGGCACTTGCGCCACACGCAGCCTGTCACCTCCACCCCCTCTCCTCACTGGAGGTTGCCTGGGCTGCTGCCACAGAGCACAGGGACAGGGAGACTCCTCACCCCCTACTCAGATCAAGGAATGACATTACAACCAGAGAGATCAGAGAGAACGCCAATGAGATCAAGGGCACATCCAGGGGGGCCGTGGGGTGCCTCGATCTCAGAGCCTGGAGGGCAGACGAGCCTTTGTGGGTGAGAAGTGGGGCTTCAACCTTGGGGATAGCCTGTAGTTCCCGTGACATGCTGGCCACTGCGTCCCCTCCAGCATACCTGTGTCCGTAAGCGGCACACCTGGCCTCTGACGACACTTCTGCTCAGAACACCCTCACGCCCCCACCCTGGCCCTTCTTACCCTTACCTCCTCCTGCTCTCCTCCATCTTAACACTGACTTTCTTGAGGGACCCTCTCAGTGCTCCCCAAGTTGGGTGGAGCCCATATGAGGTACCATCATATAGGGGTCTAGGAGTTACCACCGTGTCAGCACGTGGGCTGTCTGAGGACAGCCGTGGGCTGGGACCCAGCGCCAGCAGAGGGCTTGGACCCTGAAACAAACTTGTGTAATGATGAATTTTCAGCATTTGAATAAGAGTAACCGTCTGCCCTCCTGGCATTAGCAACCATTTTCTAAATACAAGAGATCTTTCCTAAGAGACTGGGAGCTCTGGGCTGAGAATAAAGAATCCAGAGCTGGCGGAGAGGAACAAAAGTCACCGGACATGCAGAGAGGCTATGACATGTGGCCTCCGCCAGCCTCCACAGTGGAAGGCGCCTCCGGGAGCCCATGCTGGCCACAGAGGTTGTGAGGGCTGTGCTCCTGCCCCCAGGGAGCACGTGACAGGGCCTGTGTGCATGCAGGTCTAGTCCACAGGGGGCTCAGGGATGATTAAACCCGCGAGCAATCCGTGTCACAAAGACGTCAACAGCAGAAATGGAACACCACCCTCCGAACTGAACGTGTGCTCTAAGAGCTCGCCGGCAGGCGGGAGGAAATGTGGGTGCCCAGGGCCACCCCACAGCATGACTGGGGAGGCCCGAGCTGCAGTCCTGGGAACCTTTATGGCAGAAGCACCCCTGGCGGTCCTGATGTCCAGGGAAGTCTGGGAAGCCCAGCCCTGGTGTAAGGCCCAAGGGGGACCTTTCTGGGCACCCATAGGCATCAGACGGATGGGAGGTGGGGTGGGAGGACCTGGCAAGTCCAAGAGCTCAGAGAACAATCTTACTCCAGGTGGCTTCCTGCTGAGGGTGAGGATGCCGGCAGGCATGCGTCTCAGAGACAACAGCCGACCTGCCAGGTCTATAGGCGACACAGGTGGGCACGGTGCCTGCCAGGCTGCTGCAGGAAGCCAGGTCAGGGCACCAGCCTGCGGCAGCGGGAGGATGCCTGTGCTAAAGGAGGGCTCAGCAGGGAGTAAAGGCCGGGTCTGGAGCTGCACAAGATCACGGGAGCCCGAAGACAGACACTTGCGGACGGGGCGGAGGTGGGGCTCTGGGCCGAGAGGAGGAGGAGGGGGTGGTAAGTGGCAGCAGGCTGAGAAGAACATGAGGGTGGGGGAAGCCACCACAGCCCTTGAACTGGGAGTGACCTGGTGGCTCCCTGGCGTCCCTCAAGTCACCGTCCATGCGAAGCCAGCTCACAGAACATCCCCCGCCATGTACCTCTGCGACACTTACCTCTGCCACATGTGACTTGTGGAGTTTTCGTTTATTTTTGGAGTGTGGTCACGCACATGTGTGCACACACACACGCCCCTCCGTGAGAGCGGGAATTCATCTGCTCACTGCCTGATACACAGTAGGTACTCCATAAACATTAGCAAAATGAATGCTGAATACCCTGGCTGTGACCGGGCAGGAGGGGAGAGACCTCGGCAGGGAGGGCGTGAGGGACAGTGTTGCTGCTGCCGCTGCGGCAATAAGCCAGGAGGGAACAGGAGGGCAAGGCTGGACACACGCTTGCTCGGCCCAAGGAAAGCACACCCTGGGCTGGGGAGAGGCCTGTCCTCATTTAAGTGCCCTTCACAGTGACCCTCCCTTTGCTCAGAGGGCTGAGGAGACTGAGAGGCACCCGCGCGGCCTGGGGCGATGTGATGTGCGATGTTTCCGCTCCGAGCGGACAGGAGGCACCCCAGATTTGCCCAGCGCACCAGGGCTCCGAGAAACGGCCCAGCCAGTGGTCCCCTTGATAGCGACGGGGAGGCAAGGGGAAGATCCCTCAGCCAGGTGAGGTCAGGGGAGGTCACCCCGCCCAGGCCAGGGGCCCGGCACAGACCCTCGGTGGCAACGGCAGCTCTTTACCTTAATCGTTTTTGACTGGAGCCGCAGGCCATTCAGGGTGTTGATCGCTCTCTCCGCATCCTTGGCAGTCACGTAGTTCACGAAGCCGTAGCCCAAGCTGTGCCCTGCGGGGGAGAACACGTGCACACTGGTAAGCTGGCCGAGAGCCAGGGAGGGTGAACAGGACCATGTGCCACTGGGCTCCAAAGGACAAGGTCGCTAAAAGCCATGGCCTCCCGAAAGTGGGGTGACAAGACCCATGGTCACCACCTATACGGTCTGCTTGTTACGTTTCTTTAGGCGACGTGTAAATTTTCTACAACAGACAAATGTTACTTTTAATGATTTCTTTTCTTTAAAAGAGTCATTTAAAAAGAAACACTGTGCTACTAATGCCATCCCGTGGAACCCGTCACCAAAGCAAGAAGGACATCAGTCCCATGCCCCTGCCCTGTCCCAGCTGAGATGTGGGGACTCCAGGGGTGAGGAGAGGACGGTCATGAGTGGGTGAGACGGGCAGGTGGGGACAGCTGCGTGATGGCTGCCTGTCTGCGTCCAGAGGTTTCTCCATGGCTCGCGCCCTGGCAGCGGGAAGACTTGCTGGGCTCTAGTGCCACCCAGTGTTGGTTCTCTCACTTGCCCGAATGCCGACAACTCAAGCTAAAAAGCAGATGACATGAAGCACAAAGGGCAGCTGGAGCTGAGGGAAGGCCCCCAGCGAGCTGTGTACCTGCCTTCAGGGCTCCGGCCAGGCCCCCAGGCTCCCCCTGGCGGCACTATCAGAGTCTGGGGGATTAGAACACCTGAGCTCTTCCCAGAGAAATCCAGGCTTACAGGTGGGTGTAACATTCAAGTGGCAGGAGTGACCAGCAATGGCATGCCACGGGAGGGACGCAGCCCAGCAGGGGAGGGGCTGTTGGTTCTCAGGAGCCCAGAGAGGGCCAAGGCCGAGGGGCCCAGTGGAAGGAGCCCCGTCCTTTCGCTGCAGAGGATGGGCAGAGGCAGCCCGGAGAGGAGAACCAACATGCCCAGCTCCTACCCACCCACACGCCGTGAAGGCGGGCAGCCATTGAGTGCTGGGCACAGAGCTTCGCTCCCTTCCCCTGCTTGGTGGAGGGCGACAACAAGTGGGTAGAGAACCTGCCAGGCCTTGAGCTGCATGGGGCAGGGGTCTCTGGGTGCCAGACGAACCCAGACCCTCAGGGTTGATAATGAGATGTGAACCCAGCAGAGAGCCTAACCCTAACCCAGTTTTGCCATTTTCTTAAAAAACAAAAACAAAAAAACAAAAAACTAGATACCATTATCTTTTTGGATTTAAAGAGAAATTATAAAGATAACAGAAAGAGTTCCCACAGACCCCACACCCCGTTTCTCCTGGTAGTAACATCTTGCAATCGGATGGGACATTTGTCACAACTGAGGAACCAATACTAATATGTTACTGTTAACCACAGTCCATGCTTGGTTCAGATTGCCTCAGTTTCCCCCCAAAGTCCTTTTCTGTCCCAGGAGGCCACCCAGGATTCTGTGTGACATGTAGTTGTAATATCTCCTTGGGCTGCTCTTGGCTGGGACAGCTTCTCATACTTTCCCTGTTTTTGATGACCTTGAGAGTTTCAAGGACGACTGGTCAAGGATTCTGTAGAATCTCTTGCAGCTTGGGTTTGTCAGACATTTTGCTCCTGGTGAAGCCACAGTGGGTGACGGGTTTTGGGAGAAAGACCCCAGAGTGAGGGACCCTCCTCCTGACACAGTACCAGGGGCTGCGTGTTGTCACATGACCTATCACTTTGCCAGGTTCCTTCATTGTAAAGTCCTCCCCCCCCCCCGCCGAAACTGTAGGCTTTGGAAGGAAGTCTGTGCACCCCAGGAGCACCTCATGGAGGCCCCAGGAGCACCTCGCAGAGGCATACTCTCCCTCCTTCAGGGCAGAGCAGCTACATGAGCCACCTGCAGTGCTGCACGGGCCGCTTTCCTTTTTAGAGAAACAAACCCCAAAGCTGACCTTCCACAACCATATTTCTAACAAAATCCCACAGGTCTCAGAGACGTACTAGCTCCTAAACTCTGGACAGCTAGGAGCCCAGAGCAGTGGGGCTGTGGGGCTGGGACCCCAACCAGTAGGAAAGTCAGACTCAGAAGTTCAGAAAACAGTCCAGAAAACCACACTCAACTCCAGGCTGCGAACTCAGAGCCCTCGCAAACGGACCAGGCCGCAAGCATTACAACTGAATGCAGAATGTCTGTGGTATAGACTTCTGACCCAACTCCAGGCTTGTCGGGATTCTTACTCCCAAACACCTGCTCTCTAACTCCTGTTCAGCCCATCTGTCACCACACCCAGGCCATGGAGCCCGTTGGCTCAGCTGGCTGCCGGATGGGCTCCTCTGCCTCTTTGGTCAGCACGACACACACCTGTGTCTTCTCATCTTTCTGCTCTTCCTGCGAGGCCAAGCCCGACCCTGGACCAACTGTCTCCTCCACTGCCAGTGCCGCGGGTGGCCCGAGTTCTGCTAGGGAAGACCAGACACCCATGAGGACTCGTGACCAGGCCACACTCCTATGTCTCAGCCACAGCTGGCTGCTCTCAGCACAAACACGGGTCCTGCCCGGCCCCAGGTCCTGATTCCTTGCCTCTTAGGTGCTCGGTGGCCCGGCCCCAGGGCGGTCACTGCAGACTGCCAGTCTATCGAGGCCATCCAGCTGTCAGGTGCCGCCCCACAGACAGGGTCAGGATGCTGCTCCCCGAGCTCTCAGCAGCACTGGGCACGGCCAACTCACTTGAGGGGCCACTTCCTCCAGGATGGGAGAGCAACACCTGGTTTTCTTTCTCTCTGGGTTTTCCTTCTCCCCAGCTGTCCCTCCTCAAGCTCTTACTCTTCCAGCCGTCCCACTGAGATGGCCCCCAGGTTTCCACCGCTGGCTCTGTGTCAACCATACACTCTCCCTGGGTAGCCTCCTGGACCACCACGTGGCCACAACTGCCAGTGTCACCCAGGAAGTCACACACCCTCAAGCGGCCACTGCGTCCTGCTTCCACTCTGGTTCTGGTTCTCGTCAATGAGTTGACAAGTATTGAGTGAGCACCTACTATGTGCCAGGCCCCTGGCCAGGGGGTTTGATGATGATCATAGTGGAGGACGGTTTGTGGCTTAATGGCCACTGGGCCAGCTGGACGACAGAGCAGCAGGAAACTAACCAGCAAAACCTGCGCCCAGGTGCTACAAAGGTAGTTTCCGCTGTGGTGTGTGGGCTCACGGGGCAGGCCTGTGGTGGACAGGGCAGTCAGAAGTGCCCTGTGAGGACCTAACTCTTGTGGCATGACCCTGGGATGGCCAGGGGCAAGTGGTATAGACGGAAGAGCAGGTGCCAAGCCCGTGAGGCAGAGGAGACTCAGTGTGTTCCAGGAAACGAAAGGCAGCAGTGCACTTGAACGAGATGAGCTGGGGAACGGCCCAGAGACAGTTGCTGGGTGGAGGGGGCCTCCAGGCAGAGCCTGGGAGCGAGGCTGGGTAGGGAGGCGCCGGGGTGGGGGTGGGAAGGCAGGGAGGGGAACAGCAGAGGAGGAGGAGCCTCTGAGAAGCCCCGCAGATGGGCTGCTGCAGAAGGGAGCACCGTGGGGAGTGATCTCTATATACCCCGTTCTGGGGCTGGGCCTGCCCCTGAGTCTCTCCAACCCCCTGTAGTGGGCACCTGTGTGCGGTGGAGGGAAGGCTGGTGAGGAATGAAGGGGAGCCCCTGGACTGCACCCACCAAGTGAGGGCACTGGAGGGAATGCCTAACACAGTGCCGAGCCACCGCCTCCACCCAGCCGCTCCCCAGAGACCAAGTGCTCTGGGCTTCGGCTGCTCGCCAGCATCACAGGGCAGCTTCTAAAAACCATCGTGCCCAGGCCAGAGCCAGAGCCAGCACCAGCACGGGGCGGGGTGGGGCAGGAGTGCGGGTGGCTTCAGCAGTGTTTAAAGCCTCCCAATGATCCCAATGTGGAGCCCAGGTTGAGAGTTGCTGCTGGAAGTGAATGAGGAGAGCGGGGCTCCTCAGTTCTGCAGACGCTCGACTGTCTATGCTCAGAGCAGGCACCTGGGGGAGCCCCTCTCTTCCCAAAGCAGCCCCCAAGTTCCTGCTTCTCTACCAGGGTCCATAAGCCGTGCAGGGGAACAACACAGTTCCTGAGGGCCTGCCTCAGCTCCAGGGCCAGGGTCAGGTAGGTGTGCTTGCGACATCCTTACAGATGGTCCTCCTGCCCCCAGACACGGTGAACCTGTCAAAATCGAGGCCACGAAGGCCCATTGGGTGCTACCCCTCCTTGTTTAGGGCAGTGGAAGACAAGCTCCGACAGAGGAAGCTCTGAAGGGTGGTGCTGGAGCAGGGGCGGGGCTCAGGCAGGGCACGGGTCCTGCGCAGGCTGCTGGGACTTACGGAGCGCAGGCGCGGACTGCCTGGGGTCAGTGCTGGCACAGGAGGCCAACCAGACCCCAGTATGTAGATCTGGGGGAGGGGCGGGGGCAGCAGATGCGAGAAAGAGAGAGGAGAGGGAGAACGGCCAAGGAGGAAACAGGGATAAACTCTGGGTGTGAGGCTGAGGGACCTCCCAGAAGCCCGCACTCCCCCAGCTCATGCCATCCCCGCACTGCGGGCAGAGCTCTGCTTCTCTCGCTTGGTCCCAGACCAGCACTGCCATCCTCCAGGAAGGGGACGTCACACATGTTCGAATGGCCTGGACGGCCTGGACTGGCCGGCTGAGCAGGCCTGGGTGGCATCTGACACGCGAGGGTCTCCTGGCAGCCAGCAGGCCAAGACCGCTGCCTGGAGAATACCGAGGCTGCCTCCAGGCGAGCACTCTTCCCCCTGCCAGGGGGCCCCTGACCCATTTCCAAACATTGCTCTCTCCAGACACGGTAATTTATCTTAAGAGAGAGAGAGCAAGGGAGTGGCAGAGAGAAAGGGAGAGAGAATCCCAAGCAGGCTCTACACGCCAGAGCAGAGCCTGATGTGGAGCTCGAGCTCACCAACTGCGAGATCATGACCCGACCCATGAGATCATAACCGACTGAGCCCCCCAGGCACCCCGAGACGAAGTTAAAACCTAGAGTCGATGCCCTGGCACCTCGTGCTACATTCG